GCCATAGTCGATCGGTACTAGGCTAAGCTCGCCGCTAAAGGGCTAAAGGATGCTTGCAAAAGTATGGAATATATTATACGGAAACGTTTTTCACCTGTTGCTCGATGCAATAGCATATAACTCGATGTACTGCTCGCTCTAGCTACTGAATAAGATTTGAAAATACAACAAATCATTATTCAAACAGATTATCTGAATGATAAAATTTGATGAAGAGATTTTCATGTCTCAACGAGAAGGTTTTCAACGAGAAGTCAAAGTTTGCAAGCTGAAAAACTGAATCTATGGACTTAAGCAAGGAGGATGAATGTGGAACTTAAAATTAAATGGAACTTTACAGAGTCCCTTCGAAAAGTTAACGCTGGATACCTGTAAAGTCAGAAAAGAACATGCAACTGTTTCATAATTGCTATATAGGTACATGATCTGATAATTCAAACTAGAAGTGAATCTTCTACGATACACATAAAGAAAACCCTCGAAAAAACCTCTGAAATAAGGGATTTTGGGTAAAATAAAAGATTGTTTAGGCTTAAATACTAAACAAAATAAAAATTTGTCAATTCAGCCAAATTCAGTTCATAAAAGAACTTTTGGCTTAGTGTGATATGCAAGAATTTAAGTCTATATCAACACCATTAAACTCTAACTTTAAACTAAGCGAATTTTCAAACGTCACCAAAGAAAATTAAAGTGTACACAGAAATGTTTACCAGTCTTTAATTTACTTAGCTATACCTAAGTAAACTGATATCACAAATTCTGTTAGTAGACTTAGTAAATTTAACACTAACTCGAAATACTTTCACTGGGTTCAAGCAAAATGCATACTACAATACCTTAAATTTAAGTTAACATGAAGATAACTTAGCGAAAAAAAAAAATAGTCTTAAATGTTTGCAGACGCGAATGAGGTTAAAAATACTCTCGACAGCAAACCTTTCAGTGGTTGTGGTTTCCTATTAGCAAGAAGCCAGATGTCTTGAGATTCCCACAAGCAAAGATCTGTCTAGCACTATCAAGTATTGAAGCAGCATATATAGCGTTAATTAGACAATGCACTCGCATTTGCTACTTATGAAAGCTAAGATTTTGGAGGAGGTAGCAGAATATTTGCAGCAGAAATGTATGAACCTCTTAGGTCTTGAACTTTAGCTAATGAAGGATTTCCTCCTGTTTTATTCTCTTTTTTAGCTTTGCAAGAGAAAGCGTTGGGAAATTTCCATTCTCCCTTGCGTCTGCGCAGTGCTGAAGAAGTGAAATGTCCAGTACTATATATAATTCTTTGGTATAAGCCATGAAATGTGTGAAGCCCGTGTATCGTCCTGATGTGGCCACCGGAATGTGCGTCGTTCTGGTTGTCGACAATGGTAGAAGCCGTGATTGTCTGCAGCGTGGTGCGGCGATTTGAAGCATGGAATTGTTGCAGCCAAGTACGTGGCGGCCTAAATGAATTGCCAAGTAGGCTGTAATGACATAACATAGCAATTTATATCAATCAAGTTAATCACCTGTTATCCATCTAATGTTTCTTATGTCATACATTGACATACCTTGTTCATTTGTTTTGTAAATATCAAGGAAAAGCATCTATTAAAACTTATGTTTCTCTTGTATCAAGTATGCTCCTTTGGTAGGCAGCCAGACAACCACGTTTTCTGAACAACACCAAAAAACAAACAACAGTGTGAACCTTCCAGAAACTCAGGAGTACTACATACAAATACACGATTATGCTTGACTTGCAGAACGACATCGCCTTCTTTATTCATCTCTGAAGCTCCCTACTTATCAAATTTATCAGCAAAGAAAAACTTTACAACTAGTGTTAAATAACTGATACGTAGCACTATGGGTGAAGAGATATTCCCTTCCAAAATATATCCCTGAATGCATGGAAGAAAGATATCATTATACCACTTGCTAAGCCAGAAAAAGATCCGAAGATTCCCTCGAACTATCAAGAGATAGCACTTACCTGTTTCATTTGCAAATTATTCGAAGATGGATAACAACCACCTTGTCAGAGGAAAACAAAATAATATCTGCCTATCAGTGTGGCTTCCGTAAAGGATGATCAACAATGGATAATAAATATTCTTATTTTAGAAAGCTCCATATGAAAGGCCTTGGTAAAAAAGAATCACTTAATCTTTTTTTTTTTTTTTTTTTTTTTTCCAGAATGGAAACAGCTTATGATAAGTCGTGGAGGCATGGCATACTAAATGATCTTTCTGACACTGGTTTAGGCGGAAACCTGCCAAATTTTTTTTTTTAAGACAAGATCTTTCCAACTGAAGACTGATTCTGTTTTGTCATATATTTTCCATCAAGAAGATGGTGTACCTCAAAGGAGGGTCCTAAGTGTAATTCTGTTCAGCCTAAAGACATGCTCTGTGTTAAAAGATCTTCCTCCTTCTGTTACAAGTATTTGGATGACCTCTAAATACTTTGTCAAGGTGCGGATATGAGACAGATGAATGGACAATTGCACATCGCAGTAAACAAGGTTCTTAACTGGTCAAATCAGCACGGTTTCGCTTTTTCACGCCAGAAGACCGTGTGCGTTCATTTTTGCAAAAAGCGAAATCTCCATCCTGAACCTGAACTGCATATTCATGGATCGTTCATTCCATGTTGGTTCTGGAGTGAAATTGAGGTAATATTTTACTGAAAACTGACTTCCTTCCACATGTAACTTGAGGAAGAAATGCTTTAAAAAATTAAATCTTGTCAAGGTCTTGCTGAATACCTCCTGGGGTGCAAATAGTTGTTATATGCTTCGCGTTTACAGAGGTCTATTCCGATCTCAACTAGATTATGGCTGAGTGGCTTATGGTTCTCCACGATCTTCTGTGTTAGTATAAGGTATTTCTCCCGCCTTCTTGGCATGCCTTCGTGGTGTGGTGGTCTCAGCGCGTAATTGAGAGGTCCTATCTGATATATCAAATCTTAACTAACAAACGTTGTTTTTCTCTCTGCAACTTATATAGATGATCTATGCAATTCCCTCTTTTTGGCCGAGCTGTAAAAGCCGCTGAACACAAATAGTTCGGTTGGTTCGGAGTTTGAGTCCCGGCTAACGGGTTGGCTGAATGGACGTTTTCGCGATTTTCTATGTATGTAATGTGGAAACTAGCCAGTTTCTCTTAAAAAGTCCTCCCCGGGGTATCTTTCTCTTACCGTGTAGTGCCTATGGGCAGAACACGTAACAAATAAAATAATAATTATAATTTCTTGTATGTCTGAATCTCATTTTATTTTTTTTATACAGACAAGGCCTTGAGGCCCCTTTTAATAAGAAAAATTCAGGATAAATCAGATTACGCAAACAAGGCTTCTTTATTTATACCATTGAAATACATTCCTGTCTATAGAAGGAAAATACTAGCAGAAAATGAGTTACTAAAGTGAAAAATTATCTAAACTAGGAAAAGTATTTTTTACTGAAAAGCATCAAGGTTATCATGAAGAGCATCAAGGGTTATTTTAGGATTACTAAATATAAAATTTTCACTGGGCTCGAAATTTAATTGATTGAGGTAAAATTCCTAAAATATATTTATTTATGTGATGAAAAATAATATTTACGTGATATAAAATAATGCGATTTTTATGAAAAAATTTTTAAATTTCCTTTTTATTCTCTCTTAACGGAGAAAATTATTTTCAGGTTTGATACTAAGAAGTATTTATACTAATACTTTTAGGCATAGCATAAAAATTCAGAAACGATAAGTTGTCACCCATAAAATACTTTTCTTCTTTTATGCTTACATGTTGATCGGTAGTTTTAGCCTGGGGAACTGACAGCCTTGTATAAACAAATTGAATTCATGATTATTGGTTATTAATTTCAATAAATGAGACACTTCTGTATATAATGTTATATTACCTGACGCCAAGTATTTTTTGGAAAAAATGTAGCAGAAAAAAAAAAAAACATGCTAAGAAACATTTTTTGATTTTCGGCTATTTCTGAATAACTGAAATGAAATTACTTTGACGAAATTTTGCAGTAGTTTGGTAACGTTTCTCTTCAATGTAAACTGAGTAGAATCTGAAATGTTACTTCGCTCGTTCAATCGTACCCTCTAACTGTGCACTCTGCAATTGAGAGCAGAGTGCTCAGTTAGAGGCTGATAAGGAGTTGGTTAAGAAGCAATGGCATAATAAGGTGTGTGTATTTAATTATAGCAAAGCACACTAGGGCTATCTGCCTAAGGGGAGGGATGCCTTCGTGGAGGACTTTCTAAGGGAAACTGGCTCGTATACACGTTACACATGGGGAAAACCACGAAAACACCCATGCAGCCAGCCCGTTCGCGGGATTCGAACCTCGGACCGAACTACCAGTGTTCAGCGACTTTACCGCTCGGCCGCTGGTGGGCCGGCATAATAAGGACTGAAACTGCAATTGATTTTAATCAAATGCGCTTATAAAGACAATCTGACTGGAATTCTTGCTTTTTAAAAAACAATATTCTTCGCTGCAGAATAATGTACATTTTTACTAATTTAAAAAAAAAAAAAAAAAAAAAAAAACAGGATTTCTATGCTAAATTACTTGAATTCTGTTTGAAAAATTTAGAATAAATAAATAAAATAAAATTAATAAAAAATTCTTTTAAATAACTCTAAATTCTAATAACAGCAAATTTTAAGGACTAGTAACAATTTTCACAATTTTTACGTATGACATACCACTGTGCATAAGAGTTGATTAGCGTTCACGAATATTGATCGTACACGAATATGTGATTACTTAAAATGCCATATAAAAAATTATATAAGCTTCAAAAATATGCAAATTATCATAAATTAGTTTAAAAAACGGTGTAGATATGATGCTAATTTTCCTACAATTATGCATTAACATGTGCAGTATGGTAGTGCATAATTGGTAGGTCGGTCGAGAAGCGGTTGCTGATGTAAACAAGGGGAAAGAAAGGAGAAAACTCTTGGGAGAAAAAAAGATGCAGAGAAAGCAGATTCCTCACCTCCCAGTTTTGGTGATGATCATCTCCGTCCCCAGCTCGTTGAACTTCTCCCACAAGTCCTTGTTCTCGAGGATGCAGTCCACCCTCAGAAGGTCTTGACAGTTACAACGACCTTTCAAAGACTCCGCGTAAGGGTTAGCGGCAGAGGCGGAACCATCTGACGAGGAGCGCCGCTTCGTGGATGCGGAACTCGGAGATTTCTTCGGCCGCGGCGATTTACCGGAATTGCCGTCGACGGCCTCGTCGTTGAAGTCGCTACCCTGAAGACGAAAACAAAAGAATTATATGTTTTATTTTCAAAAACGTATAACATGAAAACTTCAGCTTACAGTCTAACGCTCTATAGAGTTCATTACTAAAAATTTTAGAGTTAAAAAGATTACAAAACTGAAATTATAAAAATCAACAGATTAAAAAGAAATTGTAATTTGATAGTGATACACAGATTTCACTTTAAACAGTTTTAAGCTAAGTAATTACGATAGGCTTCGTAGTTTAAAAATCAGTCCTCTAGAAACTGAGAATACAGAAAGTAAAATCTTATATTTAAAAGCAGCTGTTTAAAATGATAAACGGAATGGCAAGGAGGAGGTATAATATTATCACATTGTAAATAACGACAAGTGGAGACTTGCTCGTTTATTTAATAAAGAAAAGTATCAATTAGTCAAGGCGTAGCTGCGTATTTATATTACATCATCGCTTGCGCACGAGGCTTGCAATAAATATTTTCTTCAAATAGCATTACTTTCTGTTTTACCAGAACATGAAATAAGTGAACTGAAAGTAATGAACTCCTCTTAAGTGTTAAAAAAATATAAAAGTAAAATAAAATAACTTTATGAAATGATGACTGAAGTAAAGAATCTGAATTGGGAGTGGACACTCAAGTTATTCAGTTCAAGAAATATGTGTCATAAAGTAAAAACTTCCCCTAAACATTCTGATAATTATTAGAAAAGTTATGTGTATTAGTAAGTTACGAAGCTAACTATTATGAGAACGAGTTTATATCAACAAATATTCCTCATTTATTAACCAGATTATAAGGTATTTTCTCTCTCCTTCTATCAGTATGCCTTCGTGACGTAACGGTACCACGCTCGATGCGTATTCCAGAGGTCCAAGTTCGAGTCCCGGCAAGGGCATTGCACGTTTTTCACATCCCCGATTCAAAATAACCATAATAAACCTACAGTGGCACCCGAACTAAAAGATGTTGGGCAATAATTCACTACTAGGATTTCGCGATTGGGTCCACTAATCCCTAGTCGCCCTTTCAAAGAGTGAATATATAAGGCATTTTCTCCCTCCTTTCAGCATGCCTTCGTTGTGCAACGGTAGCATACTCGGTACGTATTCGAGAAGTCCAGATTCAAGCCCCGGTGAGGGCATTGCATGTTTTTCATATCGTCTGCTTCAAAATAATCTAATAACTCCACAAGATGAACGATATTGAATGATGAGAGATGTTATGGGGAGGGGAAAAGCAGTATTTTCTGAAACAGTAAGTGGTACGTGAGTTGTTTCTGAAATCGTAAGTAGCCATATTATTTATCAAAACCAATAATTTTTGTTTAAAATATGAAAAATTCATGGAGGAAAGAAGCTTGTGATTTCATACGGAAAGAATAGTCTTTGATACCTATTTCATCAAAAGAATAATTTTATTGTAAAACATTTTATATAATAAAAGAATTGTTCAGTGTGACTTAAGATCAGAAATATGCAATTATTATAAAAATATTTCTTTTTTAGAGAAATTTTAAGACTATATGATCCAATTTCTATGCTTCTGAAGTTTACGAGGAAGAAATTAATGTCACAGAAAAGAGATTAGATTTCAGTACATAATATTAGTTCTTATCACATATAACGCTTTACTGTAATTGCTTTAAAAAAGGCACAAAAAAAATGCGGAATTAAATTTTGATACCTATATATCTTCTTTTGGTGATATCGATTTGAACCAAAAAGGGAGGTGCTGTACTGCATGTTATAGCAGTCCGATATACAAAATTTTAACGTTCTGAGGCTACTCGTTTTTGAGTTATGCGAGACGCATACATACGTACGGACATCAAGAAAAAATCTCTTTTGAATCCATTTTTCAATCCGTTTTTGGAGAAAGGGTGCCTTATTCTGTCCGTAAGTACAAGATGTCACGCAAAAACATCGTTTAAATGGCTTCGAGAGCAGGCAAAATAAATATTTTTGTTGAAATATGATACCCGAAATTTTTCGCGATTACAACACTTCCTTTACTTCGTACGAGTAAAAATGACAATTCCTGAAAACGGTGATAATTTTTATGGAATCGTAAATTTTGTGCTCTTATCTTTAGTTATGTATTTCAAAGAAGTTTTTATACACTTTTTTCCCGTTAAAATGTTCATATCCAAGTTGAATAATATTAATTTATTTTGTTTATTAAGTCTATGCTCTAAATTTCAACTTTGTAGAATCCAAGAGACCGCAGTCTACCGATTGGACAAGCGGAAATTTTGCTACTAAAGTCCTCTCTCTCTTTTTAGCCTTAACTTCTTATTCACAGTTCGCGAAGTTACTTAACAAGTAGACTTACAAGCGCCGTAATTCGTTATAATATTACATGCATTTCAAGCAGAAACGTGTGGATATGACAGTTTAACTCACCTCATCGACTTCAGGTTCCTCGTCCTCCTCCGGAACACTGGAAGCAGGTGTGGCTCGATCTCTCTTCTGGCTCGCAGCCCCGATCCTGTCCCACGATGGTGAAGGTCCGCCACTGCTTTCAGAATCAGAAGCAAAGGGAGATCTCATTGGCCATGACAACAGTTCTGATGGAAGAGGAGAAGAAACTGAAAATAAAGAGAAATAAATGCTTAGCTACCTCCATTAGGAAAGGGGAAGAAGTAGGAAACTTACGTAAAATTAGACCAAAATCTTAGTTAGGAATTATTTATCGTACATATTTTGCAAGTTAACACAGAGAAAAGGAAATCTGCGTAAAAAGACAGCTATGGTATTAACAGTGCATCTGCAAAGTTCCATGAATGTTCAACTAATCCAAGTAAAGCCACTAACCGATAACTGGAGACCATGGTAACTAACACATTTAAATTTATTTCCATTAAAATGTCCACTTACGAGAAAGAGTTTTTAATGCAATTCTTACCTAACATTATAGGAAGAATTGTTAAGCAAAAGTGGGGGGGGGAGCTTTTTTTTGCCCGAAATAGCTAGTGTGATGTAGCTTGCTAGCGCAAATCTGAAATAGTTTTTAATTATTCTTCATACTCGGCAGATTTGTCATGTACAGGTTACTATTTATTCTCTAAAGTGCAATCCTGCCTTGATTACCTCTTCACCCGGAAACTGCAGAAATTCTAAAAAATTTCATTTATCATTCAAATTCTAGTTTTACTTCTGAATAGCTTTTTGGCTGATTCCTAGTTCATGGCGACACATCGACGCAGCTTTTTAATTTCGCAAAATAGATCTCCAACTTAAAATGCAACAAAATGGCTGAGGATTTTTTTTTTAAACTACTGAAGCATTTGTTGAAAATTTATCATCTGTGAGGCAAAACGAATTAAGTATTAAATAGAAAAATACTGCTTTTTTTAATGAAATTGAATTTCAATATTAATATTAGCGCTGGTCTTTGTATTATCAGAAACAAGATAAAATTATATTTAAATATAGTTGATAGAGTTGCAATAAAGTATCACACAAGCGATTGCGATTCGTAATTACTGAAGGATTTTATAACTCTTCTTAGGCTGATATAGACTGGGGTGATTTTATAGCAGAGTTCATGAGATATTCTATAGGGAAGGTACAAATATGTTGATTTTGTTACATTTTATTAATTATATGGATAACTTTAATCCTACTTGTTGGAAAATATTACTAAGGAAATATCGTTTTTAAGTAATTCATCTTCTTACACTGATAGCTAAAGCAATTTCCTAAATTCCCCCCAATCTAAATCCTAAATTGTTCTCGAATACCTCGAGTCTTTTCTATAAAAATAAAAAGAGGAAGAGATGGAGAATGAACTTTTATTTAAGATTTAAATGAAAACAAAATTTGAAATCTGTTTTTGAAGGGCGTTAGACCCAAAGGGCTATTAGTCTTTAAACGGCAAAAATTAAAATAAACTTTAATGATATTGAGGAACAGAAAGTTTTCTCCCGATGAGATGTCACAGGACAATAATATATCATTGCCTGCATCATAAAAAGTATTATTTTTTATGTGTAATAGGAAAAACATAACTCTCATTCTCATGGTAACGAGTTTCTTGTTGCCATCTCAAATTTTGAAATTATAATGATAAAAAAAAATTGTCCAATTATTCACCCAAGGCGACACAAAAAATGTACACGATCCCATCTTCAAAATTTGCGATTCAAATTTTGTAGTCTTCCAACTTCAGAGAAGGGAAAAGAGATAAAATTCCCCTGCCCAGATTATTCCGAGCCTGGAAAAATATAAAGAGTTTCCCTTATCAGTGCAACAATTAGTTTCGGACAGTTTCTCTTTTTTTCGCCTTTATTGTTGCCAACGATAAAAGGCAAAAAATGAGTATGAAAAAGAAATCGCTCCCATTTGTATAATAGTTTCATTTTGTCTTCATTATCATCGTCATCTTTGATGTGCACATAATATTTACATACGAAGATGCCATGCAATAATGTAATGAATTATTCAAATTTTTGCTGCTGGCAACTTATCACGGGTATCGTATCATCAGTGAGAAGGGTGGGGGGGGAATTCAAAACAAAGGCAATGAATGTACTTGTAAAAGAATTATCTCAAATTCTTTATTCTACTTGAACGGCAGATTTTATCCTGTTTTGGTGATTTAAAAATTTTAGTACTCTGAATGAGTTCTTGAAATGCGTTTAAAAAAGTTCTATATTTCTAAGACTATAATTTAATTATTTAATTTTTATGTTTATATTTTACGTGCTTGATGTAATACTAGTACTGTATTATCATTTATTCATTTTATAACTTCCATAGTAATAATTTGTTCATTTATCATTAAACTTGATACTTTTTATTTAAAATATGATTAAAAATCTCGTTTTCATAAAATGGCAAAATTATAAATAGGGGTCCTCCTTTTAAATTAAAAAAAAATTTTCATTAAAAATATTAGTATTAAAATTATTGTCAAGTGTAGTATATTATATCCAGCTTTTCAAAAAACAATAAAGTCATTGCCAGAGAGCTCATACGGGTACTGGAAACGCAATAGCTCACTTCCCTCTTTTAAAATAAATTTATTATTAAAAATTATCTTGGATAAAATATCTTCTAACAGTATGCACTCAATAAAATATATCACTTAATGTTAAGTAATGTACTTTCAAATTACAACAGAAAAATAAACAAATAATTAAATAAAAATAAGATATGAAAGGTTTCAGATTTAAATGATTCCCCCAAAGGATTTGTTAACGTTCTTTACGCTCTTGCTAAGCTAGCCAGCTCTTGCACTCAGTCCTACTAAACCCACTCCACCCCCCCTTTTTTTTTTTTTTTTACTTTATTATTATGCATCGTTTTCTTTGCAAGCTACATGTAATTCAACAACAAAATCAAAATAATTTTAAAAGTTGCGTAGCAACTTATGTTTAGAATTCTCGATGGAATGTTAAGTGTTTCCATGCATTTTAATATTTTTCAGACTTTTCTCAGTTCATTATATCAACATGCAGTTTAAGTAAGCCTGCTTACAAAAATTTTTTGTCTTTATATTTTTAACTTTTATGCGTTAACTTTACATATAGCACGTTAAATAAACATAAATAGCACGTTCTTCGCTCTTACGCCACATGAAACTTAATTCAACAGCTGAATCACAAAATATTTAAAAACATATCTTTAAAATTCTCGATAGAATGTTAGAGGTTGCGCTACATATTTTTAAAAAACTAGTGCCGCAACTAGCCTAAAAGAGTTTTCATTTAAAAGTAAATGTGTGTAATGACTTTAATGAGTTCAGCTAGTGTAATTTCATACAAATGTTGAAATTTTCTCTCACATCTCATGATTTTAACACATGTATATTTAAACCAATCACATTAAAAAGGTAGGAAGAAATATTCTTCAGAACTGTATTTATTGCTTTTATCACTTAGTTTATTACTGAAAAATCTTCTGGCGCGGGGAAGCTAAAAATACTTTATTTTCGGCCGCCGAGTTTGTTAATTAAAACTGAAATATAAATTCTTACCATTTTTCCGAATGGTGACAGTCTCCCGCCCTAGAGACAAAAATATTTTATTTTGAACAGAGTTGCCATTGCTCGCTTTCACATCGTTGAATTTGTTAATGAAAAATTTATTAAAGTTTACAATATATGAAATATATAATAAAATAAAATCGAAATTCAAAATTCAGGCTTCCAGGTGCACATGTTAGGATGAACGACAACGTTTTTAAAATTTGATGGCTCTAGCTACAGTCGTTTTCTCACAATGCTATGAACATACATACACACATACAGATTCTTCATTATTTAATTTCTTTAAAAATAATACAGGATAATAATATTTGGTGGCAACAATTTGAAAAGTAATACCCGTTTATTGTGAACCAACGCAAAATCTCATTTCGAGACTAATAGGGTCCTTCGTACTAAAAAGAATTTATAATTTAAGATTGTTCACAATTAATTTATCTTTCAAAGAAAGATAAGAAATTATGAATTTGTTACATTATTAATCAAATTACTGATTAATATTACATTAAATTATTTTTTATCTTTTGAACTGAAAAAAAATATGTTCGCTTCACTTCCGTTCGGAATAATTTTATCGTATGAGCTCAGAACATTCCTCTCAGCAAATAGCAAACTAACAGCTTACAAACGAAGGTGGGGGAGGTTTTAAATGCTGGAATTTCATTTCTCTTAAAAATGTAATGGTATGGAATTTTTTTCCTTATTGTTCCAACGCTAAGAAGGATGCCTAAATATGATTACGGAACCCTGAGATTTAGCATAGGATTCGATTCTGAATCGGGGACCCCATTTGGCGACATGGGTATGGCGGATGTTCCTAAACGCAACGATTATTTTCTTTAAAAAAGTCCTTCACTGAATCAACCATATATAATCATATGTACCTCACGTTCTTTGCCATACTAAATTATTACTTACCTCTTCCATTTGTTGCAATTTTTATATTAACATTGTTAAAATAATACCGAGTTCAAGAGGGATATTTCAATTTATTTCCTCGAGCTTACTGTTCCAGCAACGGAAATGATGTGTGCATCAAGCAGCCCATTTACAACTGGTTTTACGCCTTGCATAGAAATCAGTTTCTACAACCAATGACTTGAAACTAGCAACAATAGCTTTAGAATTATTTCTCTAAATTGCGTGCCATTTCCTCTTCGAAATCATCACCAAGTATTCCAAGAGTCCCGAAGCACCTATCTTAAGGACAATAAAGTTTTATGAAATCCTGTCCACCTTACCCCTTAATGCCCAGGTCTTCGGCGAAGATGGCTCATTTCATCGTCTGTTAACTTCTAAAGTTATCACCCATGTTCTTGCAATGTCGTAAATAAAAAACCGTGACAAGTGCAAGAAAACCATTTTAACAACCAGTCATTTTACTGGAGAAATTGTCCTAAGTGTTTCAATAATAGATCTAAAACAATGACAATTGATGGGCGGCGGTGATTGGGCTTTGGATTTCGACTTGAAGATTTGCATTTGCAGATGACAGACGTACCTTGTCTTCGAAGGTGGGATTTTGTTCGCACGGGTGAGCACGTGATGTTCCGAAGAGCATGTGCTTCTTAGTTTCGGTTAGTGCACAGGATTATGGAC